TTGTCTTCCTACAAGCCTGGCAGTCCCCGCGCGCTAACTTGCAGCCCGCTGCGCGCGTGCCAATCGTGTCTGCCCGGCGCTTGGTGCGTCTTTCTCTTGCCTTCCCCGCAAGCTTGTGCCCTCTGTATCCACCCAACGTCTTATTCGTGTCGCCCCAATTTCACTCTTACTGACAGCGATGCTCGAACATGCTGTGGCCGGCTGGCCAGAGCACAAAGACAACTCAGACATGATTCATGCGCCGGGATATCAAAGAGCACGAGCAGGAGAGGCGCATATGCTGAGCGAAGAAGCTGAGGCAACCACATGGTGCAAAACTTACTTGGAGGAGGATGTCGCAAAACTACAAGCCTTGAAACAGCACCACGTGCACAACTGGGAAGCAGACAAACAAGAATTCAAGCCCTTGACGGGCTGCCAACGTCAGGACAGGCCCAATGAATGCAAGAGTGCATTTCCTAGGACGACTTGGCTGCGAGAAGACGCAACCGTACTGTGTCCGTGTCTGCTCAAGACGCACGAGATGGAGGGAGCCGGACGCAAAAATCGCTTGGCATCGTTGCACGGACCCTATTCGCACGAATGGCTGAATCCTTGCTGCTTGCGGCGCTCCGTGGCTGCACTGTCGATGTGCAGGTTCCTTATCGACTGCCGTTCAAGTGTCGCAACTGCGGGGACGAGCTGAGCCCGTCGCAGCGACGTAACATTGTAGAGGCAGCGCAGAGGGCGCAAGATGCCCAGACCGGTTACTGCGCAGACTATTGCGCGAAGTGTCAACCCATGGCATTTCACGAGATCAACGAGTTTCGTAAAGGCCACGTTGCGTTGCACAGTCGGCTGGCGGGCGCCGGCGTTGAGCGGCTCGGCAAGAGGCACACTGCTCGATTCTTGAGCGACGCCTACTGCAAGGGCATTGTGCGAGGACAAGTGGAGTGCTGCAACTTGCGCGCGAACCACGTGGAAGACGCCTATGTGGCGAGTGAGCGCTTCAGCACAACTAACTTCGTGAGTTTCCCTGGCAGGGAGTTTCTACATATGGTGCAGCGGGCGTGCGGCGACCTCGGCGCCGAAGCATTTTTAGTGGGGCTTGGCCTCCATAAAAAGGGGAACAATAATTGGTGTCACTGAACAACCAAGACCAACTTTGGGTGTTTGGGCACCTCCATTTCACGTGCCTGGCGGCTTGCCATGACATACATTTCTTGCTCGGTTGCTCAGCCCAAGACAGGTACATGGTGGGAATACAAACCTCCATGTGCTTAAGTACCCCGGAAAAATATCCTCAATAGTGATAGTTTCCCTGTAAAACCAACAGGGGGACATAAAGAATATTCATTTCAGCAAGGATTCATCTAAACACACATCCTTCGGTCCTTCAGGATGAGAACCGCAACAAAAAACCTACCGTGTGAATTCGGTGGTCATTTGGCTTCTACTTACATGTTCCTTCGAACAGCTGTGGGCTGGGGGCCGAGGCGAAGGGGAGCTGGGGTAGGCCGTGCTTGAGTGGGTTGCTTGCTCAGACTAGGGCTGGCCAGCTTGGGCTGCGCTGCTTGGGCAGCCGGAGTGAAGGGCTGGGGCACGTTGGGCCAATTGAGGCAGGGCGGGCTGGGCTGGGCCTTGCTAGGGCGGGTGGCTGGTTGGGCTGGCTTGAAGCCAGTCTTGGGTGGCTGTGGCTTGCTTGCGCGGGTTGCTGGTTGGGCTGGGCCTGAAGCTGGCTCCAGACAAGTCAGACAAGCCGGCCTCGCCTGGTTGGGCTGGGCCACAGGCTAGTCTCAGACACATCAGATAAGCCTGCGCTGGGCCTGAAGCTCGTCTCGGGCAGCTTGGCTGGACCTTGCTTGCGTGGGTTGTTGGTTGCTGGGCCTGAAGCTAGTTTACGGCGGGCTGGGCAGCCGCACTGAGGGTCTCAGACACATCAGACAAACCTGACCTTGGCGCGCTGGGCTGAGCCTGCTGGCGGGCTGGGAGCTGGGGGGGCTGGCATTCTGAGATGCGGGCTGGGCAGGCTGGGCTGGGCTTGCTGGATGACTTGGGGCCGTGCTTGGGCAAGTTGCTGGTTGGGCTAGGCCTGTTTCAGACAAGCTTGGGCCTGAGGCTGGGCCTGAGCCTAGTCTCAGACACGTCAGACAGGCCTGGCAAGCAGGAGTTTCATTTTTTTTAGTGATTTCGCAATTGTCGACCCATGGAGCTGGACGCCGACGAACCCCGAAAATTTCAAGGCCCGCCGGACAGGATTTTGGGCCAGCCGACATGGGTGGGGGGGAGGGGGGGCGGCCAGCAAAATTTTGGTCGAAAAGGTTGGGAGAGGGGAAAAGCGAAGATTCTCTTTGGAGAAGAGATCTGAGCGCCCTTGGCCCCTTTGGGGCCGAGGTGAATAATGATGACTACGCACCCTCTGCATCTCCAATCTCATCATCACCGTTATCATCACCGATGATAACCATCATCGTGCATCCTCTGCATCACCAACAGTCATCATGATAATGATGACTACGCACCCTCTGCATCTCCAATCGGGTCTAACGGGACTTTTGAATCGTATATGAAAAACATAAAGATAAGGATCCTCATCATAGCCGTCGCTCATCATCGTCATCATCACGGTCATCATCATCGATGAGAACCATCATCGTGCATCCTCTGCATCACCAACAGTCATGATAATAATGATGACTACGCGTGCATCCTCTGCATCACCAACAGTCATGATGATAATGATGACTACGCACCCTCTGCATCTGCAATCTCATCATGACCGTTATCATCACCGATGATAACCATCATCGTGCATCCTCTGCATCAGTCATCATGAAAATGATGACTACGCAGCCTCTGCATCTCCAATCGGGTCTAACGGGGACTTTTGAATCGTATATGAAAAACATAAAGATAAGGATCCTCATCATAGCCGTCGCTCATCATCGTCATCATCACGGCCATCATCATCGATGAAAACCACCATCGTGCATCCTCTGCATCACCAACAGTCATGATGATAATGATGACTACGCGTGCATCCTCTGCATCACCAACAGTCATGATGATAATGATGACTACGCGCCCTCTGCATCTCCAATCTCATCATCACCGTTATCATCATCGATGATAACCATCATCGTGCGTCCCCATCGATGACAACCATCACCACCAGTCATGATGATAATGATGACTACGCGCCCTCTGCCTCTCCAATCGAGTCTAACGGGACTGTTGAATCGTATATGAAAAAGACAAGGATCCTCATCCTAGCCGTGGCCCATCATCGTCATCATCACGGTCATCAAAAAGATAAGGATCCTCCCATCATCGTCATCATCACGGTCATCATCATCGATGAAAACCATCATCGTGCATCCTCTGCATCACCAACAGTCATGATGATACTGATGACTACGCGTGCATCCTCTGCTTCACCAACAGTAATGATGATACTGATGACTACGCACCCTCTGCATCTCCAATCTCATCATCACCGTTATCACCATCGATGATAACCATCATCGTTATCATCATCGATGAAAACCATCATCGTGCATCCTCTGCATCACCAACAGTCATGATGATAATGATGACTACGCACCCTCTGCATCTCCAATCGGGTCTAACGGGACTTTTGAACCGTATATGAAAAAGATAAGGATCGTCATCACAGCCGTCGCCCATCAGCGTCGTCATCACCGTTATCATCATCGATGATAACCATCATCGTGCATCCTCTGCATCGCCAACAGTCATGATGATAATGATGACTACGCATCCTCTGCATCTCCAATCAGGTCACAACGATTATAATGTGATGATGATGACCATGTCATCATCACCATGATGGTGGTCATTATCGTCATCATCATCATCATCGTCATCATCATCGTCGTCATCATCGTCATCATCATCGTCATCACTACGCATCCTCTGCATCTCCAACCGGGTCTAACAGCACGCTTGAAACGTATATGACACAGATCTGATCAGATAGGAGAAAGATAAGGATGACAACGATAATAGTAGCTCGGAAAATAACTATCATCGTAGCATCCTCTGCATCACCAATGCTTTCTAACCCCACACTTGAAAGGTGTAGAAAGACACATCTTTGAGGTGCAAAGGATGCTACGATGACGGTATTGCTTACGCTGATAATGTTGAATCTTCGGATATGCTCATTTACCAACCCACCTTGAACTTGTGCTATCTCCAATCGGGTCTAACGGGACTTTTGAATCGTATATGAAAAAGATCAGGATCGTCATCACAGCCGTCACCCATCAGCCTCGTCATCACCGTTATCATCATCGATGATAACCATCATCGTGCACCCTCTGCATCGCCAACAGTCATGATGATAATGATGACTACGCATCCTCTGCATCTCCAATCAGGTCACAACGATTATAATGTGATGATGATGACCATGTCATCATCACCATGATGGTGGTCATTATCGTCATCATCATCATCATCGTCATCATCATCGTCGTCATCATCGTCATCATCATCGTCATCACTACGCATCCTCTGCATCTCCAACCGGGTCTAACAGCACGCTTGAAACGTATATGACACAGATCTGATCAGATAGGAGAAAGATAAGGATGACAACGATAATAGTAGCTCGGAAAATAACTATCATCGTAGCATCCTCTGCATCACCAATGCTTTCTAACCCCACACTTGAAAGGTGTAGAAAGACATCTTTGAGGTGCAAAGGATGCTACGATGACGGTATTGCTTACGCTGATAATGTTGAATCTTCGGATATGCTCATTTACCAACCCACCTTGGACTTGTGCTGTAACCACCCTTCCCGTGCGCCTCCCCCTTTGAGGAGAAGGGGTCGGCGGATTTAGTTTGCCCGCCCATAAGGCTTAGCAACCCCAAACCCTTGGGGCGTCTTTGGAGGTTTTGTTTTGGTAGGGTCCTTGAGATGACATCCTGTTCTTGCCAATTCCAAGTCGGTGTGAAGCTTCGTGAGGCCAGTCCCGTCTCGCACGTGCCAGGGGTCCCTCTCGTTGCCGGAGCTCAGCGATTCCCCGCAGGTGCAAGTTGGGGTCCCGTTTAGCGATTTACTCAGTCCCGTTGTTTTTCCTTTGTTTTGAACATCACCTTTTCGGCGGGGGTGAGGCGACTTTCAGAAAACAGACGCGAATGCCAGACAAACAAATGTCAAACACAGACGCAACATTCCGAAAAAATGAACGCGGAATTCAGAAAACAGACGTTTGGGACGATCGGGACGGTCGGGAGTCGGGATGGTTGGGATTTTCGAGCTGGTCGGGATAGTCGGGACGGTCGGGACGGTCGAGACCATGGGACGGTCCGGTTGGTCGATTTGGTCATGGTCGGGACGGCCGAGAGCAAGGATTGTCGGGGCGGTCGGGACGGCGGCGGTGGTCGGGATGGGTGGGCGGGTGTTGAACTGGTAGAGGTTGGAGCGTTGGACCAGCAAGGCCGCGTCAGCTTCGCCACTGTCCGCCCAACTACGTCGCCGAAATTCACATAAGCATCGGCCGAATTTCCCCTTGCTGTTGGCCGAGTTTCACGCTTCTCGGTGGAATTAATGGAAAGGACACGCAAGGAAACCCCGGTCCACCAGCAAACATTGTTCCCCTTTTCCAAGAGTCTAGGTCTGGCAAGGGGTCAGAAGAGCCAGTTGAGATCCTGGCCAAGTAATATCGACCTCACCCATGACGAAGGCTCCTTACTTGCGGGTTCCTCATTTCCATAACTAATTGCGGGTGTCTTTTTTGAGGGTGGGATTTTTGGGTGGGTTTGAGGAATCAAAAAGGGCCAAACCTACGGACTCGTTCCCCCGCCATTCCACTCCATTCCACTTCATTCCATTCTGCTCACTAGCAGGCGCCGGAGAAGGAAGCAGAGGAGTGCCGGGGAAGGGCAGGGCGCATAGATCCGCATGATTGGCTTGACTTGCTGAATTGTGGCTTAACATTTGGGGCCTTATTCTCTATGCTTCGCAGCCTACAGCCTTCATGTCTCTGGGGCTCGTGGAGTTTGTATCCAGTCTGGCAAGCTACAAGGTGAGCATAGAATATCTGACATGTTCCAAGTGCACCAGACGCATCGTGGATGGGAGCCATTTGATGAAGAAGAGGCTGTACATGCGTTTTGCAGGGTTTCCATAATTCCTGTCTTTCCCAAGCGACATCCATGTCGTGTTTGTTCCTCTGTTCGTTTTTGCATTATGTGAAACCTTGATCCAACAGCGCTTCAGCATTTGCAGCAATGACCAGGCAGCCGAAGAGCCGGCTGCCGCAGAGGAGGCGCGTTTTCGATGGTTTGGGTGTGGTGTTTTGCTGCAAGTGCAGCAGAACGTTCAGCGCACTCAGATCCCAGCGACGGTGTCTGTGTGTATGCGCATAAGCACGCGTGCATGATAGTCTGCAAGCATGCTTCCAGCGAGTAGTAACACGGCCGGTGGTTGAGGGTTGGCTCAAGATTAGCTTGGGGTTGGCTTTGGGTTGGTTTAGATTGGGTTTTAGGGGCAGTTTGAGGTTGGTTCAGGGTTGGTTCAGGGTGGGTTAGGGTTGGTTAGGGTTAGTTTAGGGGGCAATCCGGCCGTCTAGCCCGGCCATCCGGCCATCCAGCCAGCCACAGCGAGGCACGCCATAGTTGAGGGTGGGAAAACAATCATAAAGGATCAAACTAACCAGCATTACGGAATTCCACCGAAGCATCACTCATTCCCTTTGGAACAACATAGAACAATAGGACACGACTCCCCTCATTTGCCACTTCATGAAGTGACATGGAAAGCAAGCATTGACAGAAAGAACAGACAGGCGCTAGCAGTTTCTTGATTATTCACCAAGGAACAAGTAGGAGGACAATGACTCTGGAACCCCCCTGAGACATTCCCCCCGCCAAGCATCTGAGAATCTGGAATGATAAGGACAAAATGGTTTCTGGACTTCCCTGAGGTTCTATTTCCCATTCAAGCACTTAGAGCAAATTGAATAGTTGGAAGACTGACAATTCACACATTACAGGAGAGTCCCATCCTGCGAGGCACCACTCCCCTTGAACATGTGTTGCATCAGTAGAGCTAGTGGGACATTATGATTTCAGGAGCGCCTTGAATCAGCATTGCCGTTGAACAAAGGTAGAAGCAAGAAGAAACATTATGTTTATAATAAGCCGATTATTGGAGACCCAGGATGCACGGACCAGCTCGGACATGTCGAATTGGGAGAATTGTCAATGTCGTGGAGCAAAATTATTCCGGACTTCCCTGCCACACCTCTCTTTTGAACCGGTGTTTTTTGGAATAACTAGAACATTGTCAAACAGGTAATTTTCCAATTCCCACCACGCCTCACTTCCTTTGAAAGGATACTGGGATGACTACGAAAGAACAATGACTCCAAACACCTCCTCAGGTCGACATGTTTCAAACCCAATTCCCACAAGCGGTAGGAGTTGGGTTGATGCCCATGTACTTGTTTATGCTCCAGATATTCTGGTGGTTCCTATTGTTCCAACTGCGGTACTTCCTTGCAGCATCCCCGTGTGTGTTTTGCTAGACATTCTAATTCCGCTAATTCTGTTCCAGTTGCTCCAGCTCGTTCAAGGGGACTGGTGCCTCAGGGAATTCCCAGAATAGTTCGCTAATCTGCCTCAAGCTAGCTACAGAAGTGATGGCTCACGGGATTCTGCTATGTGTTGCTTTAGGCATTCAAGTTAGGTTGAATATGAATGTTGAAATCATGTTTTCTGATTGCGCTCCTGTGTATGATTACAACTATGTCCAAAGGGAATAGTGCTTCAGGGCATGGCGTTTAAGCGGTGCCTCTCAAAACCTGTAAAATATATGTTCCAGGCATTATATTCGCGTGATTGTCTACAAGGCGAACCAGCTCTCAGGGTATTCCTGGAACCATCTTGTTCCAATTCGAATATAGTGGTTTACATAGAGTTGACACCGGGGGTGGGTCTCGAAACAGCCATTTGACCACGCAGATGACACCTGAACAAATATTGACACATGTTTTCTCATAGTCTTAACATCAGAATTTGATCACTGTTTGGGAGCAGTCATGATCCATTTCATATGCCCCATGTCAGTGGTTTGATGATGGCGCAAGCCTCAAAATGTCAGACATGTCAAGTCTACGAGTTCAAATTGTAGCGACTGCCCTGTGTGCAAGAAATCGGCCAACATAAATGCTAAAAAACACATCAACACAACAACATGTCAAGATAACAGAAAATAATTGCAGTGTGTGATATTGCCCAATGAGATTCAGTGTCAAGACTATGTATTTAGCAATTGAAGCCCATACTGGGCCATACTTGTGGCTCTTTCGCCAACTGAACAGAATATCATGTACCAAAAACATGAAGCATCATCTCAATGAGATGGCATTGGTACATGTATGGTTGTGATACAATTTCAGTACGTCGTGTGAATACACCGGAGCATCATGGTGAAATCAACCTGACCGTAACAGACTGCACATGCGAAAATGTACTGACATGTGAATGCATGGACTTTACATGTGAAAACTTTACCATCATTCATTCAAGGGTATCTGAAAGGGATCCGTGGAAAGAATGAGTCATGAGGCAAGTTCACAGATGTTATTCTCAACCCTTCTACAAGCTTCTCTCTCTCTCTCTCTTCTCTCTCTCTCTCTCTCTCTCTCTCTCTCTCTCTCTCTCTCTCTCTCTCTCTCTCTCTCTCTCCTGTTAAACTACATGCTTCACTTCTTGCACTTGTGTTGCATGCATGTTCACTACTGCAGGCCTTGAGCTCACTACAATCGCATGAGTCAAAAGGTTGGCAGCTGCAGACTACATCAATTGTTTGGCTGTTTGGACACTACAGCACTTGCACTTGTAGTAACAGTAAAGACCAATTCTAACGTGGTAGCGGAGCTGAGATCCTAAACATCGGGGAGCTCCAGTACTCAGCAGTAAGTACTACAACCACTGCAACAGCAATCGCGTGCCAAACTACTAAGGAGAAGCAGCATCAGCCTCAGCGCAACAAACTACAGGAGCAGAGAACGGGCCAACAGCAGACAAACTGCCACCACCCTTCTTCACTGGTGACTACTCCCAGTATGAAGAATGGCTGTTCAAGCTACAAGCATACCTCGGCCTCATAGACCGAGACTTCGACCTGGTGCTACAACTAGCACAAGTGGCTACACGACAGATTGAGGACACAGACATCAGAACACACATACTCGACCCTACACAAGGAAGCAAAGCAGTAGACCTCTCCAGAGATCTACACTACATCCTCATCAACATCTGTCAGGGAGCAGCAGCTACAGTAGTAAGGCAAAACCGCTACAACGCAAACGGATGTGAAACACTACGACTACTACACAACAGGTTCAGCCTACCAGTAGGAACGAGGAGCGTTGGTTACCTTACCAAACTACTGGAACCTACATTCAACGAAGCGCAGTTTGAAGAACAATTCCTACAATGGGAATACGACATCAACCGCTACGAGAAAGACACTCGAACAGCACTACCAGATGGAATCAAAATAGGAATACTACTTAACAAAACCAAAGGAGCACTGCAGCAACACCTCCAACTGCGAGCTGGACAGATCACGAACTACATCGAGATCAGAGCACTCATCTTGGACTACTACAAGACGATTTCAGCCTTCACTAGATCTACTTCAGCAGTAGGAACAAACTACAATGGAGGAACTGCACCAATGGATGTTGACAACATATGGAGGAAAGGAAGAAACTACAAAGGCAAAGGAAAAGGAAAAGGCAGCTACAAAGGAAGCAAGAGCGAAGGCAAGTATAGGAGTAAAGGACACTACAAAGGATCCGACAAAGGCAGCAAAGGAAACTACAACAAAGGAGGATACAACAAGAGCAAAGGAAAAGGCTACTCAGGATCCAAAGGATATGGATCAAGCAAAGGCTACAAAGGCCAAGGAAACTACAGCAAATCAAAAGGAAAAGGAAACAACAACTACACAACATGCCATCGATGTGGCAAGCCCGGCCACTGGGCACAAGACTGCAGAGCGCCAGTATGGCACATAGGAGAAGGAGAAGAACTACATCCACTAGAACAAGAACAAGCAGATCACGACAACAATGAAGAACTACCTCAGGATGTGAACGACGCTTGGGACTGGTACTACGAAGGAGAAGAAGGACAACACGAGGTGAACTACATGGAGGAGAACTGGAACGACTACGACTATGACAACAGCTGGGATTGGAATGACAACAGCTTTGAGGACACAGCAAACTACATTGGAGGCATCAACGAGTCACACCTTACCATTGGACACATCAGACAAGCAAACTCACGACTACACAAGCACAAATCCAAAACACTACTTGGCAAGAGAACAACACACACAACATCATGGAACGACCACAGCAAGAGCTTTCAACAATTCCTACAAGAAGACACCACAAAGCTACACTTCGACATAGCAGCAGCAAGACAACAACAAAGGAACAAGAAGATTGAGGACACTATCACCCACTACATCATGTATTCCAACTTCAAGTCATACCACCACCTGTTGATCGACTCAGGAGCATCTACACATGTTTGCCCGAAGGACTACGCACCAGACCTACCGCTACGACCTTGTGGAGAATCGGTTCCACAACTCTACACGGTTACAAACAAGAAGATTCCTGTCTACGGCATCAAGTACGTCCCCTACAAGCAGGACAACTTCAGGATCATGATACCCTACTACGTTTGTGATGTGAAGTATCCAATCCTCAGTGCATCAAGACTACTTGATAGAGGGTATGGACTTGACTTCACTCCACGACACTGCACCATCACACATGGACAACAACAAGCACACCTCATAAGACACTCAGGACTTTTCTACCTACGAGCAGAGAAGATCG